ATCTAAGACCATTAAGTGGCAATTCACATTGAAGTCACAGAAATACAACCATAATATCAAAAAATGTCATTGAACATGTTTTATTGAATTGCAGAAACAAATAATGTGCATGTGCATCTAAGTGACAAGTTTGAATTTAATCAAGTGAAGAAAAACTAAGTATGTACTATCATCATTCATATGTCATGTCATTCATATATCAGTCATTTTTTGAGTAATGCTGAAGTAATGGCTATCAATAATCCATTATATTTGTATCACGTTTGAATAAAATCGACCCAGGTATGACATAGAAACAACTGATGACAGCAAGAAATTTGGTGACTTTTAGTTTTTGTAGACGAAACTTCATGTGGTTAAATTTCATCTAAATCCAAAAACAATTGAAGAAAATAAATGCTAACTGTCATGTTTTGCAAAATTTAAAACAAAGTCTGTAAAAATGTATCTGAGAAATAAGTAGGACACATCGGAAAAATAAAACAAAATGGCCACCAGTCGTTCACTTTGAATTAAACCATGAAAAAAATGACATGCATTGGTAACCTATCATGAGTAATGGTAATACCAAGCATACATGTACCTGAGAAATGATTTATAATATATAAAAATGGTGTTTTGTTTGAACAAAACTGGCCGAAGTCAAAGATAAACAAAATACAAGCAATAATTGCTGTGGTGAATGTGGCAAGAAATTATGTTAGACAGACAGACAGACAGAAAAAATGGACAAAAAGACAGACACAGATGAAATGCACAGAGGCCCTGTTTCAGAATACGTCATGCAAGACCAAACCTTATTCTATGAGTTTCACAACTTGGTCACTATTATTTACAGTATATTTCAAGTACAAAAGTTACACTTTCAAGTCATTTGATCTATTTAATTTTGAATTTTGAAAAATTATTCTAGTTGTATAGGTTTAATTTGTACGATCATATTGACATTCAGACACAAATTAAATGTAATAATATTAGGTTATTAATAGAATACTGCAAAGTATGCACCAAGACAGTACAGCGGGAGTATCGGCCGACGTGCAGCGGAGGTCAATGTGATGGTGTACTGTCTGAGTGCATATTTTGCAGTATCCTTGTAATGACCATGTTATTATGCATCTTTTCCTCCCAGGAATATATCATGGGAATGCCGAACTCCAAAACGTTTAGAACAAATTTAGTGAACTTCTTTGTGTAAGTCCAATCAAACCTGGGGGCAGCCATGTTTGTTTTTTATTAGACATTTACGCATGTAATCGTTCCATATTAGGAATTTGCGCCTCTTAACATGGTAGGATATACCCAGTGCAAAACCGCAAAATTACAGCGAGCTGTAACTTATGGTGTTACGGTGACAGATGTATAATAATAATAATTAATATTTGACATTTAATACATGTACTACTGAAAACATTTAATTTAGAGTTTTATAAAAACCTGTAATTTTAATCATTCAAAAGAAGTAAAAAATTTATAAAGATAAGGTTGCCATGAGAATGCTGTAAAATTTGTACTCTGGCAGTATGGGATTGTGTCATACACATATGACACTTGAAATGACTCGTATACCTGATAGTGTCACTAACTGTGAGACAACAATTTTCTATATCCCTTCATAATATGAAACAAGTACAAAACATTAATAAATAATTATAATTGTATAGTAAAAAACATTGTAACAAAGTTAGATATATAAATCCATCAAACAATGATGAATAAATGAATTATGGTTTATACAAACATCATTACAAGTTATTAGCTTGTATTTTTATTCATATACATGTATACTACTGTATATTTAAAAATGCATCTCCAATATAAGGGAGGGCGCATAAACCAACAAAACAAGTGCATGTAACAACAAAATTGTATTTGCATATTATAATATATTACCATATTTGCTCTATTTAGCATGCCAAATGACAGGGGATTGTATTTTGTCAAAGTAAGTCATTTCTTAATAACTTAGTATTAATTTTTGTTGAATGTACTATTGGCCAGATGCACTTCTAATAGAACAAATACAGTATCAGTGTAAATGTAGTAGTTGGGGGGTAGAGGAAAATATTATTCATGTTGCCATTCACATTTTAAAATTATTCACTGCAGATAAAAAATACTGCAGTTTAATTGACCAACCAATCTTTAAATGATATGTGATAACATTTCTCAATATCTCAAATACTAACTTTGGAGGTGATCATGTGAATTTGGGGTGATCATATGACTTTGGAGTTGATCATGTGACTTTGGAGGTGATCATGTGACTTTGGAGGTGATCATGTGACTTTGGAGCCGATCATGTGATTTTGGAAGTGACCATGTGACTTTCAAACTTCCAGGATTAACTGATTATGACATATTTGGCAAGTAAAAAGAAATATATGTGATATATATATTTTACGGGAATTGATGGTTTTATTTTAGTGGAAAATCGCCATTTTGACACTATTATAACGCTTTTACCACAGGTTTCTATGGCAGAGATATTATGCAATATCTCAAAATCCAGCCTGGTGACATAGGCTGAAAAAATCATATACTGTTAATAATGGAGTACTTTTTGTTGTTCTAAATTATTTAAAAAATCTGGGTTTTAAAAAGTGTCAAAAAATGCAGTTTTTCTTTAACATTGTGTTCTATGGAATTGTTCTAAAAATAGCAATTTTCAAGAAATATTAGGACACGTTTCTCAAAAAGCATAATGTGAAACACAAAATAATGCTATTTCATTGTACCTTAGGACATTAGCTTCATGATTGTACATAATAAACTAATTAACATTGTCATGCGATTTATGACCAATTTTGTCAAAAATTATGACTAGGCTTCTACCTTAATGCAAATGTTTTTACTGTCAAAAATTTCCCATGATGCAACAGAGTGACAATGGTCCAAAGGCACACATGTTCAGATTCAAAATACTGAAAAAATGTATAAGATTGAAAAATGCTCAGATTTGTAATACTAACAAAAAGAAGGATATGATTGCTCTTTGTATTTGTCAATTGATTTCTTTTTGATGAAACTGGTGACTAATGGCGGATGTGATGGTTTGAGATCATGCAGTTGTAATGGATACTTGAGAGAATTTAAAGAGAGTCCAGTTTCTAATGACAGCGATCTTTTCAGTGGTATTACTTGGGTATTGTTAGGGTGATGTACTTTTTTTGTTAATTTCATGGAAACTAGTTTGACTTGTTTCCATTTCTCTTTTTGTTCATTGTGTATAGCAGTGATGACAACGGCCAGGTAAGACAGACCAAACAGATACCACAAAGCAACCCCAATATCATAAACCCATCTATAATCAGACAAAGATGGATCTTGAGTGGCTACATAATCCCCAAAACCTATGGTTGTCAAGGTGATGAAACTATAGTAATGTGCAATGTAGAAATCCCAGTTTTCCATATACGTGTATATTACAGCTGGTATAACAACAAAAACGATCCACGTAGCAAAGCCAACTGTCAATGTTTGTACACATCGTCTCAACATCCGTGGAGTTTTGGAAGGAAGTAATCCGCTTATAACTTTACACTGTTTACGAAATGATCCTTGCCAATGTTCTCCGATTTTACTAAGTATCCATCCAGTAAATGGAATTCCTATCAAAGCATATGGAATAACAGCGTTCCTACCCCAATACGTGGTTGGTACATGTTTTCCATAACCTGACAAGCATGAGATAGAAATGGGGTATGCAATGAGATGAATTCATAGCATAGCGTAGACTACAATGCGAGAAGAATGTTAGTATTGAGGAAGGGCCAAGGAAAAGTCATGTTAGTATTGAGGGGGGCAAGGAGAAGTCCTGTTAGTATTGAAGGAGGCTGGGTTATAGCCGTTGCTAAAGAGGAATGGATTTGCATAAGAAATCAGCATCATGTGGTGGAAGATTATGCAGCTTTACTTTACGGTAAATTAATCCCATATATAGTTAAAATTAAAATCTTCAATGTCTTAACATTTTGTTATATATAAATATTCTTACCTATAGTTGTGACGACTGTACCAGCAAAGAAGAAAGAACTGCTGAAATCCCAATTGGAAGGATTTGTAGAATTGTTAAATGGAGAGACACCACTCTTATAGGCATACACTGCAGTCATGATAAGCTTCTCTAGCGCCTCATTGTCCACACATGTGTAATTGTCAAGCCAGTCAATCTTTAAGTGACGAATTGAGCTACGAGTATCATCCTCATTGTCTGATTCAAGCAGCATGAATATTACAGCTCCAATTACTAAATACACAATGAATACAACACATAATATTACCATAGTAATACAATGCATGGTTGCAGATTGGCTATTGAATCACTAATCTGGATTACAGTTTACTGCAGATAATGGTTAAGTCACTAATCTGGATCGCAGTTTCACTGCAGATAATGGTTAAGTCATTAATCTGGATCACAAGTTTACTTCAGATAATGGTTGAGTCACTAATCTGGAGCACAGGTTCACTTCAGATTATGTTCGAGTTAAGTCTCTAGTCTGGATCACAGTTTACTGCAGATAATGGTTAAGTCACTAATCTGGATCACAAGTTTACTTCAGATAATGGTTGAGTTAAGTCTCTAGTCTGGATCACAGTTTACTGCAGATAATGGTTAAGTCACTAATCTGGATCACAGGTTTACTTCAGATAATGGTTGAGTTAAGTCTCTAGTCTGGATCACAGTTTTCCTGCAGATAATTGTTAAGTCACTATGAAGATAATAATCTAATATTGATAGCAGGTATAATCATAAGTCTTCAACATTTAGTATGGAAAGGACCTTCCATTCAGTTCTTGTCGTAATATGTTCACTCTGAAAAAATGTAATTAAAAATATACTATGGTTACTTGCAGCAGATGTGACAATCACACAATGGAAAGCCATCAATACATTTCATTTCAGTTTTAATGTCGAAATAATTAATTGGATATTCTAATGAGTATCATATTTGCTTGATTAATGAAGCGCATATTCAATAGAAGTGAAAATAAAACCAAAATTTTAATTTTTGTGTGCTTAATCATTAAAATATATAATTTGCCAATAACAGTAACTGTGTAATATATGTAAGTGCATATATATGCTACTTATAAAACAAATATGGCATAATCTTCCATAATTGAGAAACAGGAAATTCTGGAGCAATATTTTATTGTCACAAGCTACTGTATAGTTTGGGGCAAACTTTTATTGCTATGTACGCTACTGTCAGGAAAGCAGTCCCAAACAATATGACATATATTTGTTGTATGCTGCAATACAATTACTCTGGTTTGAATGTAATATAGTTGTAAGGATTGTCCTGTTAGCTTTCATTTGATTAGCCATGTGACTTGAGATGAGGTTGCAAATGCTGAAAGTGTATTTTTTCATGGGATTAATTGCTGGAAACCAAAATTATTTGTTCATAGTGCCATAGTAAGCCAGGTTTATGTGTAGTTGTGTGCTTTGTACCACGGCACACTGTTGTAAAGTGTTTGTAGTAAATTGTGAGATATGTCGGTTAATATAAAATAAAGTCTCTATCATGTCTGAAAAAAACATGTCATATATAACTACATTTGTATATGCAAATGAGATTGTAATTATTGATTAGAAAATTTACTCTTACTCTAAATTAACTTTCCAATGATAAATAATTTGTAGGGAATTTCACTGGGAAACTTATAAATGTAAAACACACCAAGTAGAAATAACCCAAATATTGTAACATAGTTATATGAAGTTTCTTTTCTATTGGTCATAGGGTTACATGTGTATATGGCACATATGGTCATTAGTTATGTTGGAGTAATATGGTTAAATATTTATACATGATTTGACTGCAATATTAAAATGAGAAATGATAAAATGGAATGTGTTGGGACATATTTTATCTATTACACAATGTATACCCTAATATTATAATATATGTACATGTACTGTTGTATCTTAATAATAACAACTTTTGGAATACCTTCATCATTTATATTGTATAAATGCAAAAATTCTGTTTAAACAATTTGTTAGCATGATTCAATACTTGTAGATTAGTAAATGTAATACTAAACATCAATTTTACAGTGCTGTTTTCACAGGTCAACACATTTGTTTTACTCCTGGTAATGGTGAATATTTGTTGCGGTGAAATTTAATTCAAATACTGTACACCATTTAATTTTGAAACATAATACAAATATTATACACTAATAGATTTGTCACAATACTATGTGACATACTAGTACGTGAGGACATTTATCTCTTGTGATAAGAAAGGTTACAGCAATATTTTTAATATGACGGAATTAGACTTAACTCCCTAGAATCAAGCATATACTGTATTCACTCGTATTAGCAGTGTATGAGTTTACGCAAATTAAAGGTATTTTAGTGACAAGATAACTGATATTTCAATGATTCAGTATCCAACAAATGTGATTTTTGGAGTAGAAGAGCAAATACAGTAAAACCATCAGTGCTGGGTTAATATGTTAGGTTGCTATGGCTTTCAATAAATAAGACAAAGCAATGTAGTCTAGTTATCTACTCATGCATAAGCAATAATATGAGCATATCCTGTTTTTTGAGTTCAAGCTCATTTAAAAGGTGATGTAATGCATATGCAATGCAACTTCCATTAAGTCATTAAAAACAGAAGATCTACACGTAGAGCATATCAAAATGTTCTCAATTCATTTTTACTTTGTGAAAACATGTGACAAGTATTTTCATTCACTTCATTTTGAATGTAACTAAATTATAAATGTCAATTTTTTGAACAGTTGGAATGAAGCATTTTTATGCTATTATTTTTATCCTGACAGAAGTGAGTCGCTTAGCCTACATTTGTTTAACAATAAATGATCCCCTTACTATTGCCATGGTAACCTAGCATATAAATTAAGTTTACAATGACATAAGCATTCCCCACAGAGCTGCAAATTGATGAAAAGTGGTTTATGCAAAACAGTTTCAAGAATAAAACAGTGAATGTGTGAGCCACAAAGACGAGCTTCAAAAATAAAACAGTGAATATGTAAGCCACAAATGCAAGATTCTAAAGTAAGACAGATATGTTTCTGATGTACAAAATTTCTCATCACAATGTCAAAGAATGAATAGATGGTTTAATAAGCCTTCTATCGATACCAATTTATTCATAATCAGAATTAGTCCATCAACAGAGTATTTTATTCAACCATTTTCTGTATAATGACTTATCTTGACGTTGTACCGTGAATTCAGTAATTGAAATGTAAATGAAATATTCTGCAAAATTCTCTAGGGGAGAAAGTGTCTGCCTGTACTAGGTCAGCCTATTTCACCTGACCCAAATTTTCCTGACCTTTGGACCTTTATTAAACACATAAGTATAGAAAACTAAGATTACTATTATTACAACTAATTTTGGAGATTACTTGTTCTGTGATTATATGTTGAGACGAGTGGCTATTTTAGTTTTTTTTGGCCCCTATAGTTAAATTTGTCTCCTATATTTTTGCTTGCCATGAAGGACGGTTGTTTTTTCTCTTAATGTCAGATTAACAATTGTCTGTACCCTCAATTTTTTCGCTACAACAGACTGTCTACGAAAGGATTATGTTGAGTGACTTTATAGGTATACACCGGGAACTCTGGTACAATAATGAGTACTATGCAAATACTTCAATCTAAAGTTTGATTCTGTAGGTAAAAAAAAAAAAAATATTTTCAAAATAAAAATAAAGTCATTAACCCTAATCTTTCCAACCCTACCTTACAGGTTATTTGAGGTCATGTACCTGGAGAGCTGATACTGACAGTACCTATTATTAAAAGAACACTAGTAACTAGGGTGTGAAGGCTACTAAGACGTAAACAAATAGTTAAGAGACATATCTTTGAATTTTCTATGCATAAATTTCACAACTCTCCACACCTTTATTTGTGGTTAGAGTCAAACAATTCAGTGTACTACTGTGTCAGAGCTGAGCTTGGTTTCAATCACAATGTTAATGTTGTGGAGGTCAAAGGTCATTCTGTTTTTCTTTAACAACTAAGAGGCTCAACTGAAAAATGTAAAATGACATGAAAGTACATGAATAGAGTTATATGTCATAACTGCAGTCTTTTGATTCAGGTATAAGTTAGGGACGACGTCAAAAGATCGATGTCGGATAAAAAACTTATTTCCTTTAGTTTGGGGGTGGGGGGGGGGGGGGGGTTTGACCTCAAAAAGTTTCCATTCTACAAAAACGATTTTATTTTTTAATGAAGTCAAAAAAATCTTGGAGTATTTGTAGTTCTTTTTTTTTCTATCCAATCATGGACAGAAATAACCGAAAAGGGGAAAATAAACAGAAAAATGGTTTGGTTCGAGTGTAAATTTGTGTGTCAAATGAGGTGCATTTGTAAAATCTGTTTACACCCACCCGACAACCAACTGCTATGCAATGCTACTGTGCGATTATCAATTTGTATTTAATGGTGAATGTAGTCTGACGCCATGACCAATATTTATCAATTAAGTTTCAGTGGGGGGTAGGGGGGTTTGGAAAAAAACTAAAGGAATTAAGTTTTTTATCCGACATCGATCTTTTGATGTCGTCCCTTATCTAATAAATATTATCGTATGTTAGAAAATAAAGATACAGATAATGCACTGTGTTTTTCTTTTGACGTTGAATGATTTTCTTTCATCATATTAGTTTAAGTTTAAGTTCATATGAATGCTTGATTCATGTATGAGGCAAGTTTGAATTCAATCCAGGCATATCTGAGATCTGGTTGAATCAATTATGATGGGAAATATATGTTTATGATGTAATATGTATGTAAAGAGTGATTGCATGGTCCACTCATGTAAGAGATGATAGTAATTGTATTAGGGGTTCAGCAGGCATTCAGTGGGCATAGTGTTATCACAAATATCAATATTCAAAAAGTTAAATGAAAGATCACAGCATGTAATAATGTATTACAACAATTAAAAGAGAAATTAAATATACCTGTCAGAAAGCATTGAACTTGCACAGGACACCAATCAATATAAATGCAGTCAAGTAAAAACTAACAACTATATAGTGGGGAGAAACCAATATCAATAGAGGATTGTAAGCTTTTAAAAAGAGGGGACAAAAAATTAACCTGATTAGTATGTGATCTGTTTGTCCGGCAAAATAGGTTGACTTCTCATAATAAGAAATGGGTAAGTTTTTTGAATTTTTTTGTTTTTTTCACAGTCCACTACACAATATGCAGCTTAAATGCAATTTATAATGAACACCCCAGGTATGTATGAAGTTAATTTCAGTGAAGACT